TAAAATCAAGCTCAAGCCAAATATTAATTATAATGTTTGTTTGAAAATGCAATAACTTCAGAAAAACTAAACCAAAACAAGTTATGAAGAAAAACTCAAAATAAAAAAATATTAAATGATAAAATTAAAAAAAAAAGAGTTGCCAATGGAGGGATGTTCATTGTTGATATGAATAATGTTTTTTGACATTATATTTTTTTTATTGAAATGGGTTTTTTTATTTTTCTTTATTTTTCTATGTTTTTTAACTTAAAAAAATAAAAGAGGTCAATATTTTATTATACTCTTATCACATTACACTATTAATTAGAATAATATTTTTTTATTTGTTTTTTTAATTTTCAATCTATGTTTTGTTTTTCAAATATATAAAAACTCACTTTAAAGTTGTCCTAGGAACAAATTAATTTTTATCTTCCTTTATATCTTTTTAATCAAACATATTTTAGTTTCTTATTTATATCTTCCTTATATTTTAAAACATTAACTAAACATAAACTAAATTATATTTACTAGTTAATATGACTGATAAACATTACACAGTCTTTTTCATGAACATTACGCACATGAGGCACAGTGCTTCTCATACTGTCGTTGGTGTACTTCTAAGCAAAGTAATAGCATTTAATTTGTCAATGGGTAACAAATTGAAGTATTGGCCAACAAATCTGGAATCGACACCAATTTTCTGATGGGCTGGAAGAGGCAAAGAAGAAAACAGATAGGATCATGGAAATATTGCAGGGATACAGCAATGAAGCTTCCCTAAAATCACGACCACTTTCTGTCTGTTTCAGCTTGCCATAAAGGTACGCAATCTACCATCTCTTGTAAGTTGTACCACGATCGATGTTTTTGTTTTCTTCGAACTTTTGCTTAGATTTTACGGCGCAGCCATCCTCCCTCCCTCTCTATCCATATTAGACGAATGAATATACAAAGAATTGGAAAATGTGTTCGGAATTGCAGACGCCTGTGGCGCGCGGTGACCTGAATCCGTGGAGTGGAATTTAATTGGTGACGGCAAAGTTCAATGAATCAGAAAAGCTATGAGATGAGGAAAGCCAGTTACATATTTAAAAATAACATTAAAAGAAAGGTGAATTAACTAAAATGCATGCATATACGGGCTGATATACTTGATGGATAGAACTCCACAATTTATTCCCCCACTTTGGTCCCACCAGAAATTACAAACAAAAGATAGTGGCTTTGAACTTGTTTCGCATACAGGAAATATTAAAACAGGCCACTAAAATCTACAGTACTGTTCCAAAACTCAGTGGAAACAACCACAATATACATGCTGGTCATGGCTTCCGACCTGATATCTCTCTTCTTCCGTACCGCACCTAACTCCATGATATGATGGGCCTTCGTCATCCTCCGAAAGGGTCCTATGCCGCAGTGACATGACAAGCACGGGACGCTTAATGTTAGTCGTCTTTGAATTGTAGGTTGATAATTTATTGGAAGGAGTAAGGAGAGCTGCGACATGAATAGCAAGAACGTCTAGCTTTAGAGTTATTGAAAAAACAACTGCCGTAGAACACATCACAAATTGCAAGCAATTATAGGGGTCCAAGCTTGAGAGTTATTGCAAAAACAAACAGCAAAATATCGATTAATCCTTGTTGAAAAATATAGCGAAAGAAAAAAAAAAAACAATATAATCATGCCTAGAAAACTTGTGTCACTAGGTTAAGTAGTCACATAATAAAAAATATTTATAGTTTTTATTTATCATATAAATGTAACTTATTTGAAGAAACAATTATTGTAAAATTCTTTTGAACGTGGTAGTGGACGCGGCTGCTTGGAAACGCAAGCATTAATTCTAATCATGTCTTGCTTGAACTTGGTTGGAAAATGGGTATTGAGAAAATGGGACATATGTGGCAGAATTGGTACGCCGAAGAAACAATCAATCTTTTCTTCGCAAAACCATTAAATTACTTTCTTGGAAAATGCACGAAAGCAATATTTCTTTGTTCTAATCCAATATTTACTGTGGAACTCCAGCTTTCATGCTATAAATACAAGCTCCATCATCCCCATTATATTGCACTAAAAAAACTAGGGAGAGAAAAAAGAAGAGAGGCCCTTATTGGAGATGAGATCTGCCCCCAACTCAACAGCAGTAGATGGTACTCATGGGGGACTCTGGCATTGGAATTCACCAGTTGTTTACTTCTTTGTCGGTCTGGCGTTCGTGCTGGGGCTAATCACAGTTGCACTGATCATTCTTGCTTGCTCCTACAGAAAATCTTTGTCCAGTTCATCAAGAAGCGAGCCTGAAGATGAAAAACCAGCAAAACATGAGGGAATTCAGGAGGATCTGGAGCCAAAGATTGCTGTAATCATGGCTGGGGATGAGAATCCTACATACTTGCTCAAGCCCGTCGCTTGCAATTGTCCCAGTGAACAAGTTTAGGTTCTCAAGCATCGAGATTCAAATACGAAATGAAGACAGTACCGTCTTTTTGTAGTTCTCTTTAATTTGTTTAGTAGTAATTCTGTTTGTGCTTTTTTTTTTTTCGAATTTTACGGGAATATGTAAAATCACGAGTATAGAAATCAAATGTTGGTAATTAATTATATTCTGGGATTGCTCTGTTTAATGTTTCTTTGATATCATGTTAGTGCAAGAATCAAGCCGTAACTCGTCATATTCGCTGAATCATCCATCTCTTTTCTTCTGAATTCGCTAAAAGAGTTGATGCTAAAGAAAGCTTGCAGGAAGCTCTCAAACATTAGCAAGACAAGGGAAAGAGAACAATATGCAGGGAAATCGTCAACATTTACTAGTGCGTTAGAATGAGTTTGTTTACATTTATTGTTTTTAGAAAATAAAGCAGGCTATTGCTAGAGATGGCTAAGGGAGAAAGGGATGAGTCTGCTACCAAGGACTAGACAAAATAGAAAGAAGAATCCTCTACTGATATTGTCAGTATGCTCTTCTACGGTTCATAATCAGTCAGACATCAAATGACAGCTATCTGACATATTGGTTCCATATATAAGATTCAAGGTTTCACATCTTGATCAGCTTTAATCTATGAGAAACTGGGCTCCAGCTGTATAACCTGAACAGCATATCTTTGTGGCATGAAATGTCCTCTGGGAATTGACATCAACAGGACTATTCCAAGTGTCGTTCTTTTCACGGCTTCAAAGCATGCACGAGGCACAGAATCATAAAATCTGTTCCTCCATAGTAAAAACAAAATCCTGTCCCAGTGTTTCATACAAATTACTGGCAATCAATATAGAAATCCTTGGTATTGCACAATCAAAAGAAAAAGGCAAAAAATAAAATAAAATAAAAATGAATGATAATTAAACAACGAGCCGGCCTCACCTTTTAGTACTTTACTCCCTCGGCGTCTTCGCTCGTAATTTCTCAAAAGTCGGTCTTCAAATTATACTATTTTAATATTGTAGCGTTAGCAAAACTATGGCTGACAGTAGGAATGTTAAATGCGATCTGATTTCTGTATTGGATTAGGTTAACGACAGGCGTGGCGGCTTAAAAACGTATTTTGATGCTGTTAGTGCTAGGAATTAGCCGTGGAAAATTGAACCTGAAAGATCAGCACGAATAGAATAGAAACAAGAGTAAGTGATGAAAAGAGAGTGAGTGGTTCTTTTTGAAACATGGCCTGCAAAAGTCTAAAGAAGAGTGCTTTTCCACATCATCTTTCATCAGTTCGAGCAAAATATTATGCAACAGTACCTCCATTAATCCTTCTAGTGATAGATATGGACCCCCACATCTTTCTGTCTATACACGTTTTGGCCATGCCGGCGTTGCCATGAAATGAACCACTTCATGGAAACGAAACATACATGTCTGGCGAGTCTTGCTGGAAACAGAAACTATGCCGTCGCGTGGATATAAACAAAACCTGCAACCTCCAATTTCTGAGCTTTTTTTTTATCTTCTACCTGATGAAGACTTGGCAGATACAGGTCTTCAATCAATGAAATTTAGTAGTACGACGAGTTTCTCACTGATTCAACTCATCTATGGCCATGTGTGACTACAAGTTCTTGTAAAGGAGACACAAATTTAGGAGTTTTAGAAAGTTTTGTTTAGTTTATTAGTTTTTATCGTTGCTGCTGTGAAGATGATTTTAAAATAGCTAGATTTAATTCTCTTTTTTGTTATCTTTTTTAAAATACCGTCAAGTTAATCGACCATGCATGTTAATTATGTGGGGTCAATTAAATCTCAAAAATATGACTAATGTTACATGGAGGGATGAAATTGATTTTTTAGATAAATTAATGTGATCATTTAAAAAAAAAAGTTTCCATTGTGTCCAAAATGCTAATATTTGTTTTTTAAATCATCCCTTTATTAATGTTTCAGAACATTAAGACTATTTTAGATATAATTTTTAATATTTATTTAAACATGAAAGAATTCTATCAATTATTTAATCCTGGCATGATATTTAATCCTATTTGTGGTACCATTTTAAGTAGATTTTTGTAATTTATCTTCTTTTTTATCCTATGGTATTTATGATCTAACCATATTCATTTCTGGGTTTCTACCCGGCCCGTTACAATTGTATGGGCTGAAATCTAATTAACAAGTCCATAAAGCCCAGAAGATCATAAACGCAAGGAAAACAAGAAAAGGAATTTTGTCATTTTGAAGAAGGTCTAGCAAGTTCGAGACTTTTCAAGAACTAAACGAGACAAGTACAGTTGTCGTGCGGTAACCAGGAAGGAACGTTACATTTTTTTTTAATAACATCTTTTAATATATAAATTTTAAAAAAATTAAATTTTATAATTTATTCCAATTTCTGAGCTTTTTTTTTATCTTCTACCTGATGAAGACTTGGCAGATACAGGTCTTCCATCAATGAAATTTAGTAGTACGACGAGTTTCTCACCGATTCAACTCAACTATGGCCATGTGTGACTACAAGTTCTTGTAAAGGAGACTCAAATTTAGGAGTTTTAGAAAGTTTTGTTTAGTTTATTAGTTTTTATCGTTGCTGCTGTGAAGATGATTTTAAAATAGCTAGATTTAATTCTCTTTTTTGTTATCTTTTTTAAAATACCGTCAAGTTAATGGACCATGCATGTTAATTATGTGGGGTCAATTAAATCTCAAAAATATGACTAATGTTACATGGAGGGATGAAATTGATTTTTTAGATAAATTAATGTGATCATTTAAAAAAAAAGTTTCCATTGTGTCCAAAATGCTAATATTTTTTTTTTAAATCATCCCTTTATTAATGTTTCAGAACATTAAGACTATTTTAGATATAATTTTTAATATTTATTTAAACATGAAAGAATTCTATCAATTATTTAATCCTGGCATGATATTTAATCCTATTTGTGGTACCATTTTAAGTAGATTTTTGTAATTTATCTTCTTTTTTATCCTATGGTATTTATGATCTAACCATATTCATTTCTGGGTTTCTACCCGGCCCGTTACAATTGTATGGGCTGAAATCTAATTAACAAGTCCATAAAGCCCAGAAGATCATAAACGCAAGGAAAACAAGAAAAGGAATTTTGTCATTTTGAAGAAGGTCTAGCAAGTTCGAGACTTTTCAAGAACTAAACGAGACAAGTACAGTTGTCGTGCGGTAACCAGGAAGGAACGTTACATTTTTTTTTTAATAACATCTTTTAATATATAAATTTTTAAAAAATTAAATTTTATAATTTATTTTAATTTGCTTTATATAAATTTATTATAATATATACAAATTAATAGTTTTTTTAAAATATTATTTTTTCAATATTTATTAAAAATTAATAAAAAATTTATTTTAAATAAAATTAAGTTTTTACTTATTATTTAATTTGTTTTTATATCTATCAAAGTGATTGAGTTATATTGAATTAATTTTTACATGATTTAAATTTTTTAAATTAAAAAATATTAATAATAAAAAAATTGATCAGACCTCAGCACAATATAGACTAAATAAATTAATTAATAAAAAAACTAAAAGATAAAGGTGTTTCATTGTACTCATCCTTATATAGTAAGATTCTTTTAAATAATGCTTTGTTTTTTTTTAATTATCATCTTATGACTTTATAATTAAATTAATAGGTTATATTAATTCAAATTTATTTAATATATTATTTTTTTAATATTTATAAAAAAATTTAATATTTATTTTGAGTCAAATAATATTTTTACGAATTAGTTTTTAACCAACTAGATTAATTGAGTTGTATCAGTTAAATTCTCACATAATTTAAATTTTTTATTAAAAAATTATTAATAAAAATTATATATATTTTTTATTTTAAAAAATTAATCCCACTAAAATCATGCATGCATTGTTTTAGGATAGAAAGAATTAAGGGCCGTCGCGGTCAATAATTTAGCCTGCATTGTTTTAGGATAGAAAGAAGTAAGGGCCGTCGCGGTCAATAATTTAGCCGGCGGCAGCAACCTGAGATTTTCGTGTCAGCTCGTTGTCGCATAAGGTCATTTCTCCCTCCAAGGGTAAAATGGTAAAAAATGATTCAGGTAAGGATTCATTGTATGAATTGAAAGGTCCTTGAATTTTGTTGACTTCTTACTTCTGATAAATTCTACAATTAATTGTATGCAATTTCAAATATAATTATGAAATTATATCTAAAAATTAAAATTACTAGAAAGAGTCTAATATATTCTTTTAAATAAAACCACATAGTATCTTAAAATATTGAGATTCAAGCTTGTATTTTTTTTTTATCGTTAATGCTCTAATATTACATCAATTAATTAACTCAATATATACAGAGAGGAAAATACCTAAAGTGCCCAAAAAAGAGAGAAAAACGAGCCCTGCGAAATATCTCTCCAATCTCTGTCTCAAAATATCTACAACTTAATTGATGTTCAATTTAAATTATTTTATTTTAGAGTTATTTTTTCATATAAGCGCGTTTTCTATTATTTTAGTGTTACGTTCAATAATTTCTAGTGTGATAGCATTATATTTTCAATAACATCATAGTAGTATTTACAAATATATATTTTTTTCTATCTAAATGAGTATTCTTGTTAATTATATATGATGCATGGTATAAAATTTAGATTCTTATAACTTAGTTTATTTTTGAATTCATCATTTAGAATATTTTAAGATAATTGATCTAATCAAAACGGTTAAAAACTGAAATAAAAAGCTTCTTGTCAACAATTGATATTGTTGAACCAAAGTGCTAAGAACTTGTCAAGCTAGTGGTTGAAAATCTAGTTATAAATCTTAAATTATTTTTATAAATTTAAATTGATCTGAGTAAAAAAAATTAATCCAATTAAAAAAATATTAATGTAATTAAAAAATCAATTCGGTTTTAAACCGTTCAAAATATGAACATAAACCTATTAAATTTTAATACTAAAACAAACAAGCAACATCAAGAGTTGAAGACATAAACTTTGAATTTTTCTAGCATCTAATCAAAATACCTTCTAAACAAAAGGGAGCATGCATGATACAAATGCTAATCATTTCCAAAAAAAAAAAAAGGTTAAACTGATATATTAATCATTAACATGCACTATATGTTTTGGCATCTAGTTTAAGCATATGGAATCTTCTTCTCAAACGCAAAGGCAATTCTATAGTAACTTAATTTAATTAAGGTTTCCTGTTCCTATATATATAAAAATACATGATACACCTAGCTAGCTATCTCATTTCCCTGCACTTGCAAAACCCTCCATGCATCTCCATCTCTAGAAGAGAAATAAACTGCGACCAAGAATTCAAAGAGATAAACTGAAGAGAGAAAGATCGATGAGGCCTTCAAGTGATTCTACCTCAACCATCAATGTATGGCGTTCTCCAACACCTTACCTGTTTGGCAGCCTAGGCCTGCTGTTAGCAATCATTGCTGTGGCACTGACAGCTTTGGCATGTTCTTACTACAGAAACTCATCATGTGATGAAGAAGAAAAGCCAGCCGCGATGCTCACAAGCATGCCGGTTCTCCATGCAGAGCCAGAGATTGTTGTCGTCATGGCCGGGGAGGACAAGCCAACGTATCTAGCAACACCATTGTGACCAGCTAGTTTAGATTTCTCTTTTCTTGGCTCCATGTCAATGGCCCGTACTATGCTAATATTGTAGTATCTAGCCTTATCTATATATGCTATGACTTGACAAAGTTTTTGTTCAAGTTGTAATTATGGCATTTGTTCTTCAACATTTTCAATTTCAATCAATCTGCTTACCTCTTCTCTTCTTTCATTCCTTTTTTCCTCTCCAGATTCATATATTTTTTCACCAAGTACAGGAAGAAGTTCCTTGTATACTTGGACGGACTATAATAATGTTGACTTATGATTGCTAGCTAAAAATGAAATGAGAAGGTGACAGTTTTTTTAAAATAATTTAGAACAAACCATCGTTCTTTTTTGTGCTTTTAAAGGAAATGGTCTTCAATTTGCAGCAAAATTAATCTCGAATTTAATTACTGAGTTTTGTAATATAAACCCATGATTACTTGAAACTTAAAAGGGATCTAGAAAGATGTTACACCACAAGATACAGACAAGATAC